CATTTTCTTTATTCATTTATCTGTTGATGGGCACCTATACTTGTTCCACTATATATATTGATGTGGCTACATCACTGTAGTATGCTGAGTTTAGATCACTTGGATATACACCGAGGAGTAGGATAGCTGGGTCACATGCTGATTCCATTCCTAGTTTTCTGAGAAATATCCATACTGCTTTCCAGAGTGGTTGTGCTAATTTTCAGCCCCACCAACAATGTATGAGTATACCACTTTCCACACATATTTATCAACATTTATTATTATTTATAAGTTTTAATAATTGCTTCTCTGACTAGAATGAGATGAAGTGTCAATTAGTTTGATTTGGATTTCTCTGATTGCTAGAGATATTAAACATTTTTATACAATTATTGGCTGTTTGTATTTCATTGAGAAGTGTCTCTTCAGTTCTTTTAAACATATATCGATTAGATTATCTGGGTTTTTTGGTGTTAAGTTTTTTAATTCTTTATATATTGTGAATATTAATCCCCTAATAGGTGGTAAATATCTTCTCCCATTCTATAGGCTTTCTCTTCAGGCTCGTTTCTTTTGCTGTGCAGAAGCTTCTTAATTCAATGCCATCCCATTTACTGATTGTTGGTTTAATTTCTTGTGCTTTAGGAGTCTTGTTGAAGCAGCTGATGCATGTGCCAATGTGTTGGAATGTTGAAGCTACATTTTCTTCTAGCAGTTGAAGTTTCTATGCTGAGGGCCATTGCTAAGTAAGAATGACACATGGCATGACCCAGGTCATTTGCAGTGACATTGCATGTAAGGTGACCTTGCTCAAGGACCAGGGCGGATCCGGGTTTAGGGCGGATGGGGGTTTAGGGCATTCCTGCTTTAGGACAATCCGGGTTTAGGGTGTATCCTGCTGCCTCAGGCGCGCCTGCTCTTTGAGTTCGCCTGCTCCTTGAGTTCCCGTTGAGTTCTAGTGGGATTGAGAGAGTATTTGGGATTTGGCCCAGAACGTGTGTAGAGTGCCGGTGTGAGTTCGGGAATAAAGAATTGCTGTTTGAATCTACAAGGCTGTGAGTGGCTCGTGATTTTGTGCCCAGCCAGTCTGCGGCATTTCTAGGGCTAAGTTTCTGAAGTTTCTAGTTTAAATTCTAGGTCTTTGATCCACTTTGTATTGATTTTGTGCAGAATGAGATCATATTTCATTTTTTTATGTATAGACACAAAATTTCCTATTTTCCCAGCACCATTTGTTTAAAAGGCTATATTTTCTCCAATGTATGTATTTGACAATATCTATGTGGGTTTCTGTGTCTTCTCTTCTGCTCAACTGGTCTTCAGGTCTGTTTTTGATGCCAGTACCATGCCATTTGTGTTAATATAGCTTTGTAGTATAATTTAAAGTCTGGTATTGTGATGCCTCCAAGCATTGCTATTCTCAGTATTGCTTTGTCTAGGGTTTCTTGTTTTTCCAAATGACTTTTAGAACAATTTTTTTCTAATACTGTGAAGAATGTCATTAGTATTTTGCTGAGGATTGCATTGAATCTGTATAACACTTCTGGCAGTATGGTCATTTTGATAATATCAATTCTCTTAATGCAAGAACATAGGCCTTTCCATATTCTAAGGTTTTCTTCAACGTCTTTCTTCAATGTTCTATAATTTTTATTATAGAGATCCTTCACTTCCCCTGATTAGTTCCCAAAGGTTTTTTCTTTTTGGTTTTTATAAATGGGACAGTTTTCCTAATTTCTTTTTTCAGCAGATTTATTATTGGAGTATAGGAAAGGAATTGATTTATGTATTTTGAACTTGTGTCCTGCTACTTTACAAAATTTGTGTCAGCTCTAGAATTCTTCTGGTGGAACTTTTGCATCTTCTAAATATAGGTTCATGTCATCAGCAAACAGATAAAATTTCACCTTTTCATTTCCTATTTGTACCCCTTTAATTTTCTTCTCTTGCCTGATTTCTCTGGCTAGTGTTTCAAGGATTATGTTAAATATGAGTGGTGAGAATGGGCATCCTTGTCTTGTTCCTGTTTTTAGAGGAAAGTTTTTCATTTTTCTCTGTTAACTATGATGTTGGCATTGGGTTTGGCATATATAGTTTTTACAATGTTGAGGTAAGTTCCTACTATCCCTAGTTTCTCTAGTGTTCTAAACATAAATGGGTGCTATTCTTTGTCAAATGCTTTTTCTTCATTTATCTATTGATTTATCAATAGATTCTTGCCTTTAACTCTATTTATGTGGTGAATTACATTTATTGATTTGCATATGTTGAACAAGACTTGCATCCCTGGGAGGAAACTCACTTGATCATGGCCCACTATACTCTCACTGTATTTTTGAATGCAGTTTGCCAATAATTCATTAAGAATTTTTCCATCTATATTCATCAGGATTCAGCTGGTTCACCTGGGTTCTATTTTCCACTGCACAAGATTGTAAACCTTGGGTGCTATTCCCCTCTGCTGACTGGAAAAGAGATAACATCATGCCTGTTAAAGCTCCCACTGGCTACTTCCATGAATCATAGGCAATGACCCCATCCACTGCCCGACAGATATAGCCATCTTGCCCATAAACAAATTCCTGTTGGCTATGGACATGAATCCAGTTGCCATCCCTCCTTGCTGCCCTAGAGAGAGATTGCCTTTCTGTCTGGTTCTGAGCTCTTGTTTCCTGTGGCCATGAATCATGGGATTCTTTTCTATCTCTGCTTGGACTCCTATAGATGTTGTATGGAGTACTGGGTTAGGCTAGCACTTCCAAGGACAGGTCTGTTCCACCCCATTACCCTTGTTCATAGTGAGGGTGAGAGGATTTTAGCAAATTTTGGCTAATAGCAATCCCTCTACTAGTTCCTTCTAAAAATATTATTGAGATATCCCACAACAGGGGTAATTCCTCTGGTTTAATTTGGTGCTATCTGGAGGCAGAGAGATCCTATATTGATTTAATTTCTTCTAGAGCAGCTGGCCAATTGTGGGCTCTACAAAATGATTCCATATACAGCATGGCTTTCTGCCAAATTTGGGTTAAACTGATCTTCAATGACCCTACTGTTCCTGTTGCATTTTAATTTGGTCTGCTTTTCTTTCTACCTGTTCAAGGCATAAGCTTGTGTGCTTTTCCTTTCCCTCTTTCTCTCTGTTGCCTCCCCCTCCCTTACCCCAACCTGGGTTTGGGATTAAGGAATTCTGTCTTTATTTTCTGCTCCAGTAACCAAACTTCAAGTCTTTCTGAGTCTCAGACTAATATTAAAGCATTTATTCTGTCATCCACCTCTCTGATGAGTTGTTCTTTCAGGGATCACCAAACTCTGCTCTGCCATATTCCCTTCTTTTTTTTGTATATTATTTTCAGTTGTTAAGTTATGCTACTTAATTTTTTAGTATGGATTCTGATTTTTGTTGTATTTTGTGTCTTGAATTTGTTATTTTTTAGCCCATTTTAAGTATTATGTTCAAGTTTTATTTATTTTTTTCCATTTCTCAAGTATATTTTATTTCTATTACTCTATAGACATATTTTGTTTCTTATCCATTTTTTTCCTTCATAGTAACTTCATATGGGATTTGACCTTGACAGTTTGAGTATCTCATTTTAGTATAAAATTAGTGTTCCTGAACTGTGAACATTGATTTAGAAAATTTTTGTAACTTTATTATTTAGTTTCTTCCATTATTTTTCTATTACTGAAAAACTGACAGTTTAGTATTTGGAATTCCCCACCTCTAACACTTTTATCTGGACCATCTTCTTCCTCTGTTCTGTCATTCTGGCATTCAATTATAATTCCACTCCAAGAAGTCTTCCTCAAATTTGTGCCATGACCTAGAAGGAGAATTCTTGGTTCTGTTTTAAAAACTAATAGAGAATAAACAGCCTTAAGCCCAGTGCCACCTATGGTGCATGCCTGTACTCCCAGTGGCTCTGGAGGCTGAAGCAGGAGAATCATGAGTTTAAAGCCAGCTTCAGCAAAAGCAAGGTGCTAAGCAACTCAGTGAGACCCTGTCTCTAAATAAAATACAAAATAGGGCTGGGGATGTGGCTCAGTGGCCAAGTGACCCTGAGTTCACTCCCCAGTACAAAAAGAATAAATAAAATAAAATAATGAGAATAAACAGCTTTAACTCCTTAAGGTCTTATTATACAGGTCCCTTGCACTCAGTCACCAATAAGTTGTAGTTCTACATTAGTATACCAGGCTTTTCAACAAATTCATGCTACCATTCTTGGAGTTCTCCCACTGCCCTGTATCCATGTGGTGATTTAGAAAGACCCAAAATCCATCCTGCAACTGATGCTATAATATTCTGCTAATCCCTCTATTCTTCATTTTTGAGAGGTTTCCCATTTCCTTTGACTACTTTAAAGATATCATATTATTTTCTGACTTACATTATTCTGTTGAAAAACTACACTGAACACCAAATTGCAAAGAGTTAATTACTGTAATCCAATCGTGTATTTAGCAGGTTCAGGGATATAAGTAGACAACTGACAAATATTTCAAGAATACATCTTGATTTGTGTTTCTAGTTTATTTGCTTTCATGACCTTTCTAGTAATAGGACTTTGAGTCACAAACATTGTAAGATTTAGGGAACTCTTTACTCAGCCTTTCTGGTATAGTTCCAAGATTCTTATGCCACCTTATCTTGTGCACCTTAGGAAAAATTGGATGTTTACCTTTTTCTTCTCTCCATTCCAATTTTCATACCAGCCCATACAGAAGCTTTTAAAAATTCTGCTTATTCATTTATTCGCTTATTTATACCTAGTAGAGTCTCTCTGCTGCACCCAAAGAAAAAAAAAGATTAATAACTCAACAAGGAAGAGTTCTTCTGTCTTAAAATTTTAATTTATATAGGCTCATTTGATTCCACACCTTTCCAATGTTTTTAAAAATATAATCATATTACTTATTCCTTTTTATATTCGTTGAAATAGAAGAAATACCTTGCCACTATTATATCTACTGCCGCAGTCCGGCTGCAGCAAAATAACCGGGGTGACAAACAATTTGTGTAGATTGATACAGCAGGAGAGGGAGCCATTTATTGTAGGACAGGAGGGGTATTTATACATTCCACAGAGCCTATCTTAATTAACATAAACTAGATACAGCAGTCAACCAATAAGAAATCTCCACACTTAATGGCTCGCTGGCGTTACTTCACAAACCACTCCCTCTGGCAAAATGCCAGGTGCCATCCAGACTTGTATACAGACTCTTAACATTTGCCAGGCACTATCCTGACTTGTTTACAGACCCTAACATTTCCTCCTTTTGTTTAATTTAAATAACGACCATAGTGCTTTTTACACAAACACCATAAATAATCTGCTACAAGCAGAAGGGGAGGATATAAAATATCATAATACCAAGCCAATTGATGGCTCCATGCAAGAAGCCCTTGGAAAAATTATACCAGCAATGACACCGTTTGCAAAGACACCGAGTTACAATTTGTTGTAGATTACAGTTTGTTGTCTCAGTCCAGGTAAAGCAGTGTCTCAATAGATTAACTCACAGTCCAGGTAAATCACAGTCCAGGTAAGTTCTGCAGGCAGCTAGCTTGATCCGAAGTCTCGTCCGGTTCTCAGCAACACTGGAAATTCTTCTACTTTCGTTTTCACCGGCACTGGGCAGGAACTCCGGATGGCTAAAGAAAATCCTGTAGCATTCCACTAAGAAAACAACCTTTTAGGGGCTGGAGATGTGGCTCAAGCGGTAGCACGCTCGCCTGGCATGCGTGCGGCCCAGGTTCGATCCTCAGCACCACATACAAAGATGTTGTGTCCGCCGAGAACTAAAAAATCAATATTAAAAAAAAAAAGAAAACAACCTTTTGAACAATTTAGTACATTATCTCAAGGTTTTTTTTTTACATTTGAAATAAGCCTCAATATAGTGCTCATTACTCATTAGCTTCCAGGTGTGGGAGAACCATTGTAGTTACTGGCCTTGGAAATGATCAAACTTCAGGGACCCGGGCCATCTTCGGCCTGCAGCATCCCGGGTAGCCCCAGATGGCCCTGGGGAGAGTCCTGGACTCAAACTGCTTCCAGGCACAGGTTTGGATTTGGGCTCTCGCAGTGGCATCCCCGGGCGGGGGGGCGGGGAAGAGCCGGTTGCCGCTGCTTGGAAAGCCCTTGTTGTGCCATGACTGGCTTGCGCATTCGGCAGCCGCCTCGCCGCTTCACGTACCCTCCGGTAATGAAAAGTATTCAGTAATAGCCTTTTGTTGCAACTTTTTTCCTGATAATCCTTCCTCTTCTGAACTTTCTTCTTTCTGACTAGAATTCCTGGGCATCTATCAACACATGCCCTAACTATTCTTGGTTCCACTGGGGTGCCTCTTTCCCTTCTCAATTTACCTAACACCCCTTCCATATTTTCATCACAAACACAATACAATACACTGAGACAAAACAAGACACAAACATACTGTATCAATCTTCTCCATTTTCTCAAAATGGCCATTTTTCCTCTTGCCCTATCTGTCTAGGGACGAGCAGATTTGCTCCCGTCCTATCTATGGACGGGCAGCTTTTTTTCGTCACTTGACCCCCGAGTGTCCCGGGGCTCCCCATACGGGCCACCATCTGCCGCAGTCCAGCTGCAGCAAAATAACCGGGGGTGGGGGGGGTGGGGGGGGTGACGAACAACTTGTGTACATTGATACAGCAGGAGTAGGAGCCGTTTATTGTAGGACAACAGAGGTATTTATACATTCCACACAGCTTATCTTAATTAGCATAAACTAGATACAGCAGTCAACCAATAAGGAATCTCCACACTTAATGGCTGGCTGGCGTTACTTCACACTCCCTCTGGCAAAATGCCAGGCGCCATCCAGACTTGTTTACAGACTCTTAACATCTACTACAAAATAAGCAATTTCTATGACTATCTTTTTGGAAATGTTATATTTTTCTCATTAGTGTGTATCAACTGTACATAAAAATGGTGCTTAGTGTGAGATTTCAATGAATGTATACAAGATTCTCTCATCAACTTACCTTCGTCAACATTTTAATGCCCCCACCCTCTAGTAATCACCATCCTACTATTTATTTATGTAGTAGTACTGGAGATTGAACCTAGAGACTCCCTACCACTGACCTATATCCAGCACTTTTTATTTTTTATTTTGAGATATGGTCTTGCTAAGTTGCTCAGGCTGGCCTCAAATTTTAAATCCTCCTGTCTCAGTCCTCCAGGGAACTGGACTTGGAAGCATGTTCCACTATCCTAGGTACCATTCTACCTGCCTGCAATGACACTTCCACCAGTGAGACACACACTCCAGCCACACCACTGATCTCCAACACAAATAAACTTTATATGCAAGTAGCTTTTGTAAATTTCTCACCTTTTTTTCTTTTTTCTTTCTTTTTTTTTGGGAGGGGGGTTGGGTAGGGAGGCCTAATAAAAATTTTTCCTTGCCTAAATATCCTTGAATACATCTATAGCTTACTATGACATATATTTCCGCTGAAATGCTCTGTTATTCCCAAATAGACTTATTAATCATGGGAGACTCTCTCTGAATGTTATTTAGATTGACACAATGGTTCTTATAGTCTTAATGAGGGATAAGGAGGAAAGAAAAGGAAGGGCAATATACACTTATTTTTATTGATTCTTATATTTTTTTAAAAAAAGTATTTTGTTTTCCCATTTAACAAAGGAAGGAAGAAAAAAACTGTCTCAAAAATTCCACCTTGAGCAAACCCTGGAATTTTTCACTTTTTTCCTGCTCACTGTGAAAATTGAAGCTCATGATCATCTCAAGCAAAGATCATTCCCAGCTTTGGAAATGCGATTTTGTATTTTCACATAGATTTTGTCCTATTGGTATTTCTGATGATATTGCATTTATGCATTTATGATAAGTTTTAAAGAATTGTATCCTGTGTTTGTAATTGTTTTCCATGAGAAGATTGGCCATCATACCTAATCCAAAAAAAAGGTTATGATAGGAAAGTTAGTAACATCTTTAACAGAATTATTTAGAAAAACTCTACATGCATTCAGAGAAAAAAAAAATCTACAGACAAAAATTAGTCTAGCTTCTAACTTCTCTTTTGCAAGAGCAAATAACAGGAAATACCAGAGTTATAACTATGACAAAAACTTAGGAAAGGGTGTTTGGCTCCAAAATTTAAGACCCAGGTGAGTTGTCATCCCAAAAAAGACATCATAGAACTTTCAGAATTTAGATCCAGGTGCAGTGGTGCAAGCCTGTAATCCTAGTGACATGGCTGAGGCAGGAGGACTGCAAGTTCAAGGCCAACCTCATCATCTAAGCAAAGACCTCTGTAATTTAGTGAGACCTTGTCTCAAAATGAAAAATAAAAAGGTCTGGGGAGGTATCTCAGTGGTACAACACCCCTGGGTTCAATCCCTAGTACCAAGAAAAAATAAAAAGAATTAAGAAAATATATTACTCTAGATAAAATTAAGAAACTAAAACTTGGTAAAAGTATGACAGGATTATCAAAGTAAAACATTCAGAATATTATGTAGAAATAATGCAAATATGGTCATAAACTGAAAATAAATTTCAAAAAATATGACTGGAAGAGATATATGACATGAAAACTAAAGTTTTAATACTAGTAGTGTGGTATGAAAATTAAAGGTTTAATACTAATACTGTGGTTTTTAATTCTCCTCTTTATATTATTAACATCTGAGAAGTAAAAGAGATATCAGAGAAAACATGAATTTCTATTATTTAAGCTCTCACTGGCTGAAAATATTACATATATACATTAATTTATTCTTCATGACATCCCGTTAAGTAAGCATATTGATTTTTTTCTTCTTACTCCAAGAAATTACCTCAATCACGGTGGCTTGAAAACACACAAATTTATTACCTTACTAGAGCTCCATATTACTAGAGCTCCATGGTCCAGCACTCACTGACATTGATCTCATTGGGCTCAATTCAATGTGTCAGAGAAATACACTGAATTCTGTGAACACACTGTGTTCTTTTTTTGAAGTCTCTAGAGGAAAATGTTTCCTTCCCTTCTTAACTTACAGAAATGGCCCACAGTCCTCAGATTATAGACTCCTTTCTCCATACTCAAAGGCAGCAATATCAGGTCAAATTCTTTTGACATAACATCATTAATTTCTGGCTCTTCCACTTTTTAGGAAATTTGGGATGACATTAAACCTATCTTGCTATCCCATGTAATATCTATTTTTTCTTTTTTATGCTTTCATTAGTACATTATAGTTCTAGATTATGATCTAATCATACATTCATGGAATTTTACTTTATTTCAGTCTCATGTTCCACTTTTCCCTCTCCTCTCTCCACTCCCATTTGCCTTGCTGTACTCTACTAGTCTTCCTTTCATTCACTAATTTTTAATTTGTGCTTTATAGATATATATAAAGGTGGAATTCACTGTGGTGTATTTATACATGCACATAGTATAATTTTGCTAAATTCATTCTACATTTTCTTCCTTTTCCTATCCTTCCCCCTTCCCTCTCAATTTCCTTCTATAGCTCCACTGATATTCCCTATATCTTTATGGGTAACCTCTATTTTAAGGTCAGCTGATTAAAGATTTTAAGTCCAGAGAAGCCATAGAACAGGAGAAAATCTTTGTCACATGCAACTCAGATTGAGCATTAGTCTCCAAGATATATAAAGAACTCAAAAAACTTAATATCAAAAAAACAAATAACAATAAATGAGCAAAGGAACTGAACAGATACTTCACAGAAGAAGAAATATGAATATTCAACAAATATATGAAAACATGTTCAACGTCACTAGCAATTAGAGCAATGCAAATTAAAACTACACTGAGATTTCATCTCACTCCAGTCAGAATGGCAATTTTCAAGAATACAAGTAAGGGGGCCTGGGGACGTGGCTCAAGCGGTAGCCCTCTCACCTGGCATGCGTGCGGCCCGGGTTCAATCCTTAGCACCACATACAAACAAAGATGTTGTGTACGCCAAAAACTGAAAAATAAATATTGAAACTTGAAATATTCTCTCTCTCTCTCTCTCTCTCTCTCTCTCTCTCTCTTTCTCTCTTTCTCTCTCAAAAAAAAAGATTTAAAAAAAAAGAATACAAGTAAGGGCTGGGGATTTGGCTCAAGCGGTAGCATGCTCGCCTGGCATATTAAAAATTCTCTCTCTCTCTCTTTAAAAAAGAAAAGAATACAAGTAATGGGGCTGGGGTTGTGGCTAAGTGGCAAAGTGCTTGCCTAGCATGTGTAAAGCACTGGGTTCGATTCTCAGCACCACATATAAATAAATAAAGGTCTATCAACAACTAATAAAATAAGAAAAAATAAAGAATACATGTAACAGTAAATGTTGCCAAGGATGTGGGGAAGATGGTATACTCATACTTTGCTGGTGGGACTGCAAATTGATGCAAATACTCTGGAAATTAGTATGTAGATTATTTAGAAAACTTGGAAAGGAACCACCATTTGACCAAGTAATCTTACTCCTTGGCATATACCGGAAGAACTTAAATCAGCACTATATTGATGGAGAGGTAGCTCAGTGGTATAGCACCCCTGGGTTAAATCCCTAGTACCAAGAAAAAAAAAAGAATTAGAAAATATATCACTGTTCATAACAGCTCAATTCACAATAGCTAAGCTGTGGAACTAACCTAGGTTCACTTCAATAGATGAATGGATAAAGAAAATGTGGTACATATGCACAATGGAATATCAGCCATAAAGGAGAATGAAATTAATGCATTTGCCAGTAAAGGGATAGAAGTGGGAGCTATCATGCTAAGTGAAATAAACCAATCCCAGAAACCAAAGGCAGAATGTTCTCTATGATGTGCAGATGCTGACTCACAATAGGCAGGGTTGGGGAATAGAGGTTCACCAGATCGGACAAAGGGAATGGGGAGAATGGATGGGGAAATGGGAATGGAAGAGACAGTACAATGAATCAGACATAACTTTTCTAAGTTATTATATAAATACAAGACCATTATAACTCCACATCATGTATAACGACAAGAATGGGACATAATATCATACTATGACATGTCAAAATATATCTATATTCACATAAAACTAAAAGAACAAATAAAAAAGGAGGAAAAAAAGATTTTAAGTCCATCTGCAACCTTAGTTCCCATTTAACACGTAACTAACATACTAATAGTTCCAGGAATTAAGATGTGAAAACCTTTAAAAATGATTATTCTGTCAAAGACTATCCTCTGTCCTCCTAAAATTCATGTCACTCAATGTTTACACCATCTTACAGTCCTCAAAATTCTGAACACATTACAGCATTAACTTAGAGTTCAAAATGTCATCTAAATCCTATTTATTAGCAAACATAAATTTCCTAAATTCCTTATTTTATAATAAAAATCTCAAAGTACTTATTTTGTAGGGAAATAAATAGATCAAATAAAGAGAAAGGCTTTAAATATTTATATGTATATTTATATGATCCCAAAGTATACTAAGCCAAGAACAGATCTGGGTAAAAACAATCTGATGGGACACATTTTCAACTCCATCAGACAATCATAATAGTGATATTACAGTATGCAAAACAATGCTCTGCCTTTTTAAGATGCCTACATACTTGAAAATTGTAAAAAATATTTTCTTATTCTTTGAAGAATTATGCAAAATATAAACTTTTTGGTTGATAATGGTTTTCATTCATTACTTTGAAAGTGTCCAACTATTAATTGTTGGCCTCCATATTTATGTGCCACTCTTAAAAGACTTCTTTGTACATGATGAGTCATTTCATTCTTGTCTGCTTCTAAGATTTTCTTATTGATTTTTGCTTTTGACACTTTTATTATGTATATCTGTTAATACCTGAGTTCATCCTAATTAGAGTTCAATGAGTTTCTCAGATGTGTAGATTAATGTTTTCACCAAATCTGAGAAACTTTCAGACATTTATCTTCAAATATTCTTCTCCCTTTTGTCCTCTCTCCTTTTCCTCTGGAATTCTTGTTATATGTATGCTGGTAAGGTGTGATAATGTTCTACACATTTGAGACTCTGGTTATTTTTCTTCATTTTTTTACCTTTTCTATTCCATAGTCTGGATAATGTCAATTGACCAATATTAAAATTCTGGTTCTTCTTGTGTAAGGCCTACTCTGTTGTTGAACTTCTGTAGTTAATCTTTCATTTGACACTGTACTTCTCCATTCCCTTGTTGTACTTGGTTCAATAAGTCTTTTTAATTGCACTCAGGGGCACTCAACCACTGAGCCACATCTCCAACCCTATTTTGTATCTTTTTTAGAGACAAGGTCTCACTGAGTGCTTAGCACCTCATTTTTGCTGAGGCTGGCTTTGAACTCAAGATCCTCTTGTTTCAGCTTCCCAAGCTGCTGTGATTACAGGCATGCGCCACTATGCCTGGTCCAGTCTCATATTTTCTTTTTATTGTTTAGACATAGTGTTATGGTTTGAATCTGTAATGTCCCCCAATGGCTCATGTGTTGAAGTCTTGGTCCCCAGTGCAGCAAAGGTTCAGAAGTGAGCTCTTGGTAAGTGACTGAATCATGAAAGCTCTGACCTCATCAATGGATTAAACTATTAATAGGTTCATAACTGAAGTGTAGATTACTGGAGGTTGATATGCATGATATATAGAAATCTCCATTTAACCAGTAGCTAAACATAAAGCTAACAGCAGGAGCTACATATAATAGGGATTGAAGAATTTGCAGAATTAATCAAGGAAATAAATTTTTTTTTAATTTTTATTTACTGATATTCATTTACTGAATAGCTTATTCTTCATATGCACAAAATCCTGTTCATGCCATGTGGCTTTTTTAGAGTTCCTTAAGAATTTCTGTGGTTTTGACTCAGCAATTTCACAGTTCAGGTCTTCTGTTAAAGTTTTTATTCTTATATGCTGCAACTAGTACCGCCTCCTCAGGCAGCTGCCATATAAAACTATCATTGCTGACTATTTTCAGCAAACATTTTGAAGACAAGATTTTTCCCAACAAGTAAATTTTGAATAGGTCACATAATCCATAACCCATGAAAATGGAGCTCTTTCAAGGAGCTGCCAGAAAGATCAGTAGTGCCATCAAACTGATGATGGGGATTTTTTAAAAATTCCAAAATGATTCTGCCCTCTGCGGTTCTAGACTGCTGGATTTCATAGCAACCATTTAGCCAGTGAGAATGAAAATAGAGCAAATTAAAATGCCACACAGCTTTATGTTCTAAGCAACATTTAGCTCTTTTATAGAACAACTACTTTTTGGATTATTACAAGGCTGGCTAATTTCAAGAGTTCTAAAAAAGTTTACTTAGTAAATTTTGTCATTGTTTTCATAGATGAGATCATTATTTTTTTTTGGGGGGGGGGTCCTTACTCTACCATTCTGGAGTCCTAACATACATGGTAAAATATTTTGTTATTCCTCAATGCTCAAAGTTAGAGGTCCAAACTCTATCAGTCTCCAAAGTTTCCATATGATTTGGTCAGAGAAATGCTGAGAGCTTTTAGCTTTTCTTTTGTGTAGATAAGTGGCAAAATGTTTTTATGTTTCACAATATTACCTTTAAATGGATTAGATTCTCATTATCTTTTAAAAATGCATTTAAATTCCAATTTAAGTATGAAGAGTAGCACAAAATTGTATATATAACTTACTGACAACAGCTTACTTTAGCTATCTAACATTAAATAATTGTTGCCTATGGCTTTTTAACCCTATTTTCCCCTGTTAGGCCAGGTTTGGATACAGGACATTATGAAACATTATCTAGCTATAAAACATTAAATAACATGAATAAATATCAACTTAATTTGTTATTTCTATATAAATCTGAGACTTACAATTTAGGATTCAGGGTGTACAGTAACAATAATTATGGGTCTGCATGGGTTAACAAAATTAAAGAATAGCCTTAAATCTCTTACACATTTAGGAAACAGTGTTAATGATCAGAAATTGACTTAGTCTAAGTAAACAAATATAAGACAGATCTTTCAATAACAATGTGGCCTTTGTATGACTATACACAAAAGAGAGCACTTACTGGATATCTTGCTAGTAAATTTACATAAACTTTAATTTTATAGATTTTATATAACACTTATATAAGGCTTAGATGGATATAGTAATCAGATGTATACATATACCTAGTCACTTATTTTTCTGGTGTCAACTATACCTATACCATTATAATCTAAATGACAACTATTTGTTTAGCCAGTTATAAATTAATCATTTAAGACTTTAAAACAGGTGCAAACACTAAATTCTTTAAGACTTAGTTTCACTAAGTAATGAGACCAAACAAATGCATATATAATGAAATTATCTTCATAGATAAGAGTGAACCAATGTTTTAGATTTTTACTTCATGTCAGTACACCAAAGTTGAAATAACTGACTGTGCTAACAAAAGACCCGAGAGGAACACAAACTTCAAAACCCAGCTGAGGTCTTTTCCCTGGTTTGTGAAGTTTGCTGAGTAAGTATCCAATTTACGTTAAAATTGATTTACTCATTTTTAATTTAGGTTACCCATGAAAACCAAGTTTAATTAACATTATAAGTCATTTTTTTTCTGTTGAAGAAAAATCCTAGAAGCAGCAATGAACATTAGAAGCAATGGACATTGTACTTAAAATATTTAATAGAAAAGGACATTTCCCATTATCTGATCATCTGGAAAAACAATGTGGATTAGTGATTTTAATGGCTTCATTATCTTTGTTTACCCAATTTAAATTGAAGTTTTGAATCATATGAATCAAAGGTATTTGGATCAATATTTTTGAATTTTGAGCACTTTATATGTTGATTCTGATATACATGTGTAAACAAGACAGTACTCAGAACAAATAAGTAAAGGCCTTATAAGTTTTAAAACTTATTAAAAGTTAACCCTTGTAAATTTTCCTCTGAATAAAGCACAGTGTAAAAAAACTTTTAGGGCTAAGGATGTGGCTCAAGCGGTAACACACTCTCCTGGCATTTGCGGGGCGCTGGATTCGATCCTCAGCACCACATAAAAGTAAAATAAAGATGTTATGTCCACCGAAAACTAAAAAATAAATATTAAAAAATTCTCTCTCTCTCTCCTTAAAAAAAATTAAAAAAAAAAACTTTTGTAGTTGGATAAAATAGGTCTGATCAGAAATTTTAACTTAGGTGCACAGAATAAAACTCATGAGCTCAGAATTTTAAAAACAAGAGTCCTAGAAAAAAATGATATGGCCATGAATTATTTTAGTAAAGCAACATGAGAGAAAGAGGAAAAAGAGAGAAAGAAAAAGAAAGAGAGAAAAAAGCTCTAAAGTTAAAGAGACATTTTTTTTTTTTTTTTTTTTTTAGTCTTAGGCCCCCTGTTGAGTCTGCCATTTTGCATTCCTGTGCTAGCTTCCTCCTGGCCTAGGCCTGGGAAATTGCTGCCTAGGGCTTTTTAGCCCTATTTTCCCCTGTTGGTAATTAGGCCAGGTTTGGATACAGAAAATTATGAAACATTATTAGTGGAGATGAGGAAGATGGCAGGGTCAAAGAACAATTGGGCCTTAGAATTGGTGGTACTGACAAGTTAAAGGGGAGAGGTATTGGAGTTGTTTTGTGTATATAAAGGCCATAGAGGAGGAGAGGGTTCTCTCCTAGTTGGGGACATCCCAGCATTTAGGAAGTATAGAGAGACAGAGAAGTGAGGAGGCCCAGAAAACCTGAGGGTTCTGAGAAGTCTGCTTGGGGTTTTGGACATTGTTGAAAAGCAAAGGGTTGAGGCCTTGGTGAGATCTAGGTGTGTGAGGAGAGGTCCAGTGATTGGTGGAGTCTTTGTAGAACAAGAGGTTAGCCTGATATTTGTAGGTATTATGAGAGTCTGAAAGTAGGGATTAAGTGGCTGTATGTGTGTAAGGAAGTGCTTGCATCAGGCCATAAGGTGCACAGATAATGATCCAGCACAGCTAGTCATTTTTAGTAGTGAGAAGCATAGCCAGCAGATGGTTTTATTTTGTTTCAGATATGTTTGGTTAAGGAGTTTGTAAGTAAGGTTGAGAGTATGGTACAGGTGGTCAATGTTAAGTATAGTGAAATCAGAAGATCCAGAGGGAGTAAAGAAGAGTGATATCATTGGGAGAGCAAGAGGGAACAGGAGCAGGCTGGGAAGATTGGGAGACTGTCCATGAGAGCAGATATGTGGAGGACTAGGAAGGCCCAGATTGGGAGAGCTATGGGGTGCCGGAGGTGCTGGGGGTACATGTGGGGCATGAGCTGGGATGACAAATAGGGAGGAGACTCATTTGCTGGATCAAAACGTGGGAAGCCTTGGGATCATGGAGTTAAGAATGGTCCATAGAGGGTTTAGTGGCCAGGAAGAGTTGAGCAGGTGAACAGGAAGAGCAGAGAGAGGATTTGGAGCAAAAGAACGAAAAGGACTGAATATAGATAAGTTCCCTCCATTTTCTGGAGCGCTCACAGAAGCTATGTAAGTCCCCAAGAATGGTTAGTCAGCCAATTAGCGCCATTGTCTAAATCATGTTGACGCCTTGCTTGATTGGAGAGAAAAATGAGTTTTGTACCTTCTTGTCCAGGGCCAAATGGAGAGGCCTAAGCTGAGTTAATAAACATCCCAAAGAGAAGTGGGACAGGTATTGAATGGATTTATTCCCATGGTGAGTTTACTAGAGAAGGCAAAGAGGCAAGTGTCTTTGAGTCTCAGGCTCCCAGTAGAAATTAGAGGAAGAAGCCCAGGGAGGGTCATCACCCCATCGATGGGAATTCCAGACTAACCCCAGTGGAAGAGGGTTCCAGAGGGATAGCAGACATGGAGGTCTATACTTGGCGCCAAGAGAGAGGAGAGAGAGAGAAAACAGAACAAACAAAAAAAAAAAATTAGACTCCATACCCAGGGGGAGACTCACCAGGGGATAGTCCATCTGGGGATCAATTGGCCCATATTCAATGAATGGCTGAGGTGCTCCAATTAAAAAGGAAGATTCCATGAGAGATTTGAATATTCCATTTTGATTGAGGGTTCACCAAAGCATGTCAGATCCCTAGAGGGAGAGCAGGGTCGATGGTGAAATGTCCCCCATCTGAGTCACATAATGTTAGGACAGAATGCTCAAAGAATCTCTGGAGACAGAGTTCATGTTTAGAAAAAAAGTTTATTGACAGGTAAAACATGCCAGGTTGTCCATAGAGTGGTACAACAGCCAGAGTTATTTGAATCGGGTTTTTATATCTTTTTTTTTTACCAAGGAAAAAGAGCAAGCTGGAAATGGCCTTGAGTGTAATAAGCTAGAATTGACCTTGGGTATAGGTGGTCTGGTAAAGTTAATTCCTGTATTTAGTAACCTTGGGTGGGGGCGGGACATGGAAACAGGGCATCCCAAGTTTCTTTTTCTTGGCAGCTCAGGACCCCGTCCCAGGCAAAGATGTTGTTCCAGAACCAAAATGGAGTCACTAATGTCCAGGATATCCCATTAATTAATCTTCACAATATTATTAACAATCACTTTTTTTAATAGATAAGAAAACTAAGGACTATAGATGTTAAATAACTTACAAAGTCATTAATATGTTCTGGGCCACTGTGGGTACTGAACTTTCTCAATCAGTAATCAGAAAGGAAAAGATTAAACTTCTTTACGAAATTAAAAAAAAAAAAAAGATTCTTGGATTGGAGTCAATAAAACAATAACAAGAAGCAATCTATCTGCTGTTTATTAAAGAAACAACCAAAACAAAATGACTGAGGTTAAATAGGAATGAATGAATGACCTGAGGTTTATTAGGCAAAAACAAAGAAAAACAGCAAAAGCTAAAGCATTAACATCAAGGCAGATTTTAAGGCAAAAATGCTAAATGATACAAAGAAGCATTTCTTATACTAAAAGCATAAAATAAATTAGGTAGATTTTATAAAAAGACATGTACCTTTTCAGGATGAATAATACAAAGTCAAAATGCACAAAATCCTCAAAATATAATTGTAATAAAATTACACATTTTTCTGAGTATTAGGTAGATCAAATAAAATGTCATAGAAAAGTCTTTTGTTCTTCACATTAGTTATATCAAAGATATACACATACTTTAAAAAACATATCTACGAATAGAATAAAAACCAAAATATTATAAATCTTTGTCTTTATAGTCACTCTTTTCAATGATTAATGCATCATATTTTCTTCATAGCAAAAGTTATTTTCAATGATAAATAATTATTCTCAATGACAAAATTAAAAAGCAGCCTAACTTGTGTAATCCTAAATGAAGGTACTGTGTGGTCGGTCCTTCCTGCTGGACTATTTCCCGGGACTATTTCTCGGCCTTTCTTTCTGTGATTTTTAATGTGTATTCACTAAATATAACACTCAACAATGAAAAATTTAACCCTCTAAACTGTTTTTAGCTAACATTAGGCCAGTATTCAGACTAAGTTAATATCCTCATAAAAGGAGGAAAGGGGGAAAGATGAGTTAATGGTGATGCTTCTTTTTTTAAATAGAGAGAATTTTTTAATATTTTTTTTTTTTTTAGTTTTCGGTGGACACAACATCTTTATTTTATTTTTATGTGGTGCTGAGGATCGAACTCAGCGCCCCGCACATGCCAGGCGCACTTGAGCCACATCCCCAGCCTAAATTGTGATACTTTTATACTTCTTTCTAGATGAAGCCATAAGAGAAGGACCATTAAGTAGGAGGGGTGTGTGTGTAGGTGTGGGTATGTGTGTGGAAATTTCATATTTTCTTTTTTTAAATAATGGTTTGCTGCACAATTCAGTTAACCCTAAATCTCCCAGACTCGTTCCTAGTGGAATTTCCTCTGTTTCAGGGCCTGGCCAACGTGGATGGCCCAGTGGGGAGGTTGTTCAGTTGATCCGATCTTAACATTTGTCTTTTCTACTTTCTGTGATTCTGTCTGTCCCCTTCATCTTTCAGTTTTGAACATGGTGGGAGAGATGCTGCTGATGGTGGTGTTCTGTTTTCTGAAGGTTTCAAGAAAAAGCAACATCAAACAAATAAGCAAGCAGTTTCTGCTTCCCAACTCGGACTAGGGGAGATCCCAAAGCTGTTTTGAATCATACAGATGCTGATGTCTCTGCCACTATTTTGGGTGTGGGATTGGCAGTAGGTGACAGAAGTAAATGAAAGGCAAGAAGAAGAGCCAAGCAAAGGGATCTTGGGTCACTGTTCCTTCTACCATAGTTGTTTTAGAAATCCCAGCTTCTAGCCAGACAATCCCATAATAACTCTATCAGTCTTAGTAGTTACCTTGGGCCAAATGTGGGAAAAGATGCTGAGAAAGGTAATGTCTTTTTGTTGGGTCTGACACACAGTAGAATCAACAGGTAGGGAGAAGTACATCATGACAGACTGCAGGAGATGATCCAAAAGGTTGTTTTCAAGGTCAGAAATCCAACACAGATCTCACTGGGTTCAAATCAAGGTTTTAGCAGTGGTGTATTCCTGTCTGGAGGCTCTAGTGGATCATCTGCTTCCTTTCTTTTCCAGTTTCTAAACACAGTCCATTTCCCTTGGTTGTGGCTCTTCCTCCCTCACCCCCTTTTTTATTTATTTTTAATTTTGAGACAGGGTCTAAGTTACCCAAGCTGGCCTCAAACTCAAAATCCTCCTGGTATTACAAACATCTACCAGCATGTATACTGAGCAATATTTTGGCCCTCTCAGAAATCTTGATCTCCTGCTTGATATCAAATCTCAATTTCTCTCTCTCTCTCTTTCTCTCTCTCTCTCTCTCTCTCTCTCTCTCTCTCTCTCTCTCTCTCTCTCTCTCTCTCACACACACACACACACACACACACACACTATATTCATAATTGCTTTTGTACCTATCTTCCCAGGTTAATCAACCTTTCTCCAATAGTGTCACATAATGTTCTAAAGGCTTATTGAAATTTATTCACTCAATTACTATAAAATACTTTCTGAATAGATAATGAATGGAAGGATATTTCTGTCTAATTCAGTATCCATTAGCAACTTGTAATTATTGAGAAACTGAAATATGGCTAGGCCAATGGGAGGGGCACATGCCTATAATCCCAGTGACTATAGAGGTTGAGACAGAAGGATGACAAGTTTGAGGCTAGACTCAGCAACTTGTTGAGACTCTGTCTTGACATAAGAAATTAAAAAAGGCTCGGGTGTAGCTAAGTAGTAGAGCATTCCTGGGTTTAATCTTTAGTATTGGGAAAGAAAGAAAAAGGAAGGGAAAAAAAAGAATGATAGAACTGGAAAAGGTGGCACATGCCTGTAATCCCAAAGACTTGGGAGGTTGAGGCAGAAGAAATACCAAGTTCAAGTCCAGTCTCAACACTTTAGTGATGACCTCAGCAACTTAGCAAGACTCTTGTCTCAAAATAAAAATAAAAAAGGGCTGTGGCTTTGTGTTAAAGTACCCCTGGGTTCAATTCCCAGGCTGGCTCAAGCTGAGAAATGTTCTAAATTCAAAAAAACAGACACTTTGGACACTGCTAAAAAAAAAAAAAAAATTCTCAATAATAAACTTTATATTGAGTATATGTTGAAATGATAATATTTTAGATACACTGGGATAAACATAATTGAAGTTAATTTCATCCGTTATTTTACTTTCTTTAGTGTGGCTATTATTAAATGTAAAATTACATTAATGTGATGGTCATCATTATACAAAATACATGTATGAAGATTTGAATTTGGTATCAACATACCTCATATACAAACAGAGATATGAAAAATTGTGGTATATATGTGTATTAAGAATTGTAATGCAAAAAAGAGAGTTCATGTATAATGGCATAATTTGGTATGAACATACTTTATATAGAGTTATGAAAAACTGTGCTGTAAATGGGTAATAATGAGTGTAATGCATTCCACTATTGTCATGTATGTAGATTAAAAAAAAAGATGGATCAAAAATAAGTAAATAAACCCTTATTTTTTGTATTTTGAAAAGGAAGATTATAAGAAAAAAAAGAAAATGTAAAATGTCCTCACGTTTCTGGCTCATACTATATTTCTATTGAACAGTACTGTTCTAGGGATAACTACATGAACGTGAACAAGCAGTCCATCTTTCAAACTGATTTTAGTCTGGTTAATAAAAACAACAAACAAAATCATATACATAAACATACAGACACACATGAACATACTCATACATGAATATTGTATATAAACCTAGGGAAGAAGAGTAGTATAAATCTTAATTCAAAATGATTATTTCCATATTGATGAAAACTTTGCTTATAAAATACTGCCACAAAATTTAAATAATGAGGTTGAATGATTTTTACAGATATATACAACTTTTTCCCTTACCAAAAATTATTTGAGAAATATTTCAAAATGTAGAAAAGTAATCAAGAGTATTATAATAATAGTTCTTTTCCACCAAAAAGAACTGATGGTAGTTTTATATTAACTTATTTAAGTCTTTTATGAATAATAAGATAGTTAAAGTTAAGGTCTGTATATAAACTCTACATGTAACTAAGAGTTTCTTACTTTGTGGTTAGCACTAGACTAGGAAAGGAGTTGAAATCTGAAATAGAATGGACTGCACTGTTTCTGTACATTTTTTAATCACAAGAAAAATTAAATTTTACCATTTATTAAAATACCCAGAGTAAGAGCATAAGGTTTCCACATATTATAACTCCATTCCTTCTTTTATTCTTTGTTTTAAACATCTGTATTTATAAATGCCTTGGAGGGGGGGACGTTGAACAGAAATCTTTAAAAGAATTATTTTAGTAATTCAATATTCATTGCTGAGTGATGCAACTATTGTCGACTTTGTTATTTTGTTCTTAATAGGCTTCTGCATTTTCAAAGAATCTATTATAAGCCAGGCATGGTGGCACAGGCCTGTAATCCCAATATCTCAGGAGGCTGAGGCAGGAGAATCACCAGTTCAAAGTTCAGTAAAAGAGAGGCTAAGCAACTCAATGAGACCTTGTCTCTAAATAAAATACAAAATAGGGCTGGGGATATGGCTCAGTGGTGGAGTGCCCCTGACTTCAATCTCTGGTGCCTAAAGAAAAAAAAATCTATTATAAGCAATCATTTTATAATTGTAATGCTATGAGTAGAAAAAACACTGGCACTAAAAATTAAAACTATTTAAGAGTGAATATACTAATAATCCTAGTAACATTGTCATGCTACTAAGATACTCAGACAATGACTTTGGTCAAGATGAAAATTTTTTTAAGAGTGCTTGATCTTTTCATTTCTAATTATGTATGATTAATTTCTATGGTCTATTATATCCATGGCTGGTAAAATTTTTAAAAATGGCACTGTCTTTGGAAAACAACTGAATATATATATTATCTTTAAAATATTAAAATTACTTAAAAGGGCTTATGCCCTTTACCCCAGTATTGCCACTGCTCAAACATTTTTCCAAGAGGGGAAATATATGTGTGTGTGTGTGTGTATACACACACACACACACACATATACATACATATACACATATATATAAAAAATTGATCATTGAATCTTAGGTACAATTGAGAAAGTTGGTGAGATTAAAGAAGAAAAAGTTAAACTACAGTGCATTATAAAAAGTATAATAAGGCATTCATAGGTGCATGTAAACAATGCTAATTCCACCATATATTTCCCAAACTTTGGATGCTATTCAATAAAACAGCTCATCTTTGTAACAGAAATTATGAAATAAAATAGACAAACACTTATGCAAGGCTAGGTGAAGGATAAATTTCGTGTGTTTATGCCATGATTATTACATAAAAGTTAATATTGTTAAGTATAAGGAAAGGAAGAGAATACGTGAAAATGAATAGCCTTTTTTAACTGGGGTAGGAGGATTGAACATCTCTCTCATGAACAATCTTGGGATCCACGGAGGCATTATACAACTTTCTACTTTTACTTTCTAACTACCATCATTTTAAATTATCCAGTGTTATCTGTCATCAAAAGCATTTTCTTCCCAAAAGCCCCATCTGATAAATACAAATTAGAACTAGTGTTGTTTGTAAGCACGCTATTACTGTCCTTTATATTTAAAAAGCACTTGAATTTTTTCCAAAAGTTCCAGAATTAGAGAACTGAGTACTTGCAAAGGGATAACAAAATGCTAATTTGAAATAGCAACCAGTATTCTAGGGTCTTGGAGAAATAGTGACCACTTCTGGCATTGCATTTGATCCATAATTTTCTTTATTAATCTTAAGTGCTTTCTACTTCCAAAGTGATTTGACCGCAACTGTTATTAGAATTGGCCTAGACGCCTGCACTTCCTCAGTGCTGCCCACAGCAGCAGAGTGGACATGGATGGACACTGTCACGCACTTATAAGGAAGGATTCTTCCACTCTTCCTCTCATTTACTCACTACGCGATCTGCGCAGGGTCGGTGTGTGTAAATACTGTAGTATTGTGTACGCACTTTGAAGCAGCCAAGGGGTAAATAGATACCAATACTGAAGCATAACACCAAAAAAGGGCGCAGGGTCGTGGAGGAAGGCGGAGGGGGCGAGATGATCAGCTCGCTGCAACAGAGACCACGGCCAACAAGGACCACGGCCAACAAGGCGCGACTCCATCGCGGGCAGCCCCTCAACCCCCAGATACCTTCAATTTCTCCTCTTTGCGCTTCAGTCTACACTTGCCCAGCATACACCTCCGACCTCCGCTGTCACTCGCCGGAGCCTGACCTACCCGCCCCGGCCAGCAACAAGAGATCCCGCCTCCTCCTCCTCCACCTCCTCCTCCTACTCCTCTTCTCTTCTCTACTGCGCCTGCGCGACCGGAAAATTCGCGAAGGTTCCTGAAGCGGAACCGGCGGTTTCCGGAAGCCGGCAGCCGCCCTAGGATTCAGGTCAGCGCTTGCTACAGCAGAGTCTGTCGCACTGTCCTGCGGTTCCCGGTGTTTGGTCCTTGCCTGTAACGGTGGGAGAAGAAGATGGCCCTGCTATGCTATAATCGGGGCTGCGGCCAGCGCTTCGACCCCGAGAACAATTCGGATGGTAAGAGAACCGCGCTGCCAGCTCCCCCTCTCGCCACCCAGCGATCTCGCGGGAGGCCTCTGGGTCCTCCGGGAGCCGCGGTGGCGCCGCGCGGGCCGGCGCCCCTCCTGGGCCTCCGCAGCTGCTGGAGACCCCGGCCGCCTTCCCCCAGCTCGGCGCCTAGCGAGCGCCAGCACCCGGCAGCCTTCATGTACCGGCGAAAACCCTGCCCCGTAGCTCTGACTGGATCCACGTGTCTCCCGGTCGACCCTCACTCTCGTATTTCGCCTCCAGTTTTGAACGAACACTCTTAACCTGCGTTCCCGCAGTCTCCTTGGGAAGTTAAAAGTTAAGGAGCCTGCTAGCTTGCTTTGCGGTTCCCCAAGTATTGTTGACCGTGATTTCTTGGGGAGAGTGCGGGTATAAAGAGAGCAAAAGGAAGAGCGATGGGCAGCCGGTTAGCCTAGCGTTTAAGTTTTGCCTCATTTTTAGTAGAGAAGTTTGTCTTGAAAGTCTGCTCTACCAAAAAGTTTTCTTTGGTTAGAGAAATTGCTTGATTTTTCTTCTCTGAGTTTTGACACATCCGCCGTTGTGGCACATTTCATTATCCTTTGCAAAAGAATTGTATATTCTTTGCAATGACCTCTTCGTTTTAATATGCCATTTTCAAAGTGCCCTAGCGAAGTATCCCTACAGCGCTTAGGTGTAGAGTTCCCGATGTGAAGTGAAAGCAACTACACTAGGTTAACGCTGGGAAATAACCACCGAATCTTAATTTTGATTCTTAAATAGAAGAAGAAAATAAGCTGAATCCTTGAATATTATAGGAAATGATAGTACTTTCTTAAATTCTGCTAGCATTTATTGTGTGTGTGTGTGTTTTTTATCCCAGACATTAGTCTGTCACTTTACCACAGCAACTCTGTTAAGTATGTAGTAATAGAACCATTTAATAGATCAAAGGAATTCAACATGACAGTAATGTGGTTCAGCTTTGTGAAAGAGATTAAGATATTTGAAATATTTATCTTGGCAGGCAGGTGAATTGGTGACATCATTTAAAATAAGATCATTGGTGCAAGCTTTTAAGGAAAAGATAAACCCAGTTTATGTATACTCAAGTTACTGTCCTTGACATTTTTATAATATAAACGTGATATTACCCAAAGGGAATGTTAAGATGTTTCAGTGGGTAACGAGAAGAGGAATTTTTAGTGTCTAATGTTGGTAATGTTGATCGCCTGTGTAAAAAATGAATGGTGTTTTTAGGAAGTTATGTTTGGATCTTCAGCACAGAGGAGTTAAAACTTTTTGTTGGAAGTCAGTGTGTCCATGTGGAAATGGTGCTGTTCCTGAAAAAGAAGAGGGGCCAGGAAAGCCAACAGTGTAAACAGCCCCATGGATTGGTGGTCAACAGTACCAGATGCAATAGGAAATTCCAATAAGATTGGTGAAAGTTTATTCACTTAAGAAAAGTGGGAATTATTTTTAGAGACTTTGGATAAATAGGCTAAGTAAATTGGTTGAGTGAATGGAAGATCAAGGAGATGATAGTAAGGATTAGAAGATAACTAAAAACACACTGTAGACTTGATTAGGAGAGACTTTTTATAGAATATGAGAGGATTGACCTTGTACCATAACTAAAATGGCATATTAAGTGGGTAAAACTGAAGGTACAAGCAAGTTCCAAGTTCTCTCTTGCATGGAGCTAGATGGCTGGTTCCATCATTCTTTAAAAAATCTTAATCTACACTCAGTACTTTGTTTCTTGGTGGTGTGGCATAATTATCATGCTTATCGATTTCTCTGAAGATTTTTTCCCTATGAACAAAAATCAGACACTATTCTAAGATGATAGACATTTTAGTTTGTAATACAAATTTAACAGGTGATTAAGTAAAAAAGACATGGTTGGTGACTTGCATATATTAAAATACTTTAGGGAAAAGCAAAACTTTCAGATAGTATTTTATTTAATCCACACATATGAAGAAACTGAAGAGCAATACAATGAGAATTTTAGCCAGGGTCAGACCCAATGTGAAAAGCTCTTGATAGTTAACCACTGTGGTGTTGTAGGTTCTTAATCTATAAAATTTCATTTGAACAAAACTGGCAAGCCTGATAAAAGCTAAAGAAGAAAATGTCCGTCTGCTTGTAAACAGTGATTTTCAAATTTTGTCCATACTAGTTATAGGATTAAGATCTGAGTGATTCCTGCTGCCATTCTGCCAGAACTGACCACTGTTAAGATGACTATTGCCTCAGACTATTTATATTATACATTGTAGACTTTATGTCTGTACATTAAATTTAATATTAGAGAATACCATATTTCTTCTCTACTTCTACTCCCCTTTCAATTTCCTGTCCTGCATACACATTTCAACTGCCAACTTTCTTTTTCATAATCTCTTCCTAATACATGGGCTTATTTGCTGTACTAGGAAAATACCTAACACTTTCTGACCACATTAGTATAGTATTTATATAACACATGGTTACTAATTAAGTAATATTGGCTATTAATTCAGGATAAGGAAATTGCTCTGGGTACAAGGAATTAATAATTTTAAGGTAACACAGGAATCAGGTAGAGGATGGAAAGATAAACAGACTAAAGAGCTTGAGTGAGGTAGCCTCATGAGAAAATTACAGAGGTGCAAGTTGACAGTTTCTCTACGTTCATTTTACTATCTAGCCTGAGAATAAGTGTGTCTATATTATCTATTTTATTATCTATTATCTATTTTTTTACAAAATATTCTACATTGCTAATTGTAATAAATAAATTTTTTTAAGAGAGTTAAGTAAAGATTGGTGGCATAATGGGGTTGGGAAACAGAAGCACTGAATGATCATGACAACCCCAATGAGTGTAGGATTTACACTTCTTTTTAATGAGGTTTGTACCTAGGAATTGATAACCTGTTTAGGACAGTTAAATTAGTAGTTAGATATTACAAGTTGTTTAAAATGTGGATCCCGTTCTTCCAAAATATGTTTTGGGGAAATCTCTTGAGCAACCTTTATGGATCAGTGCGTGTAGGTACACTTAAGTTTAATAATATTTTTGTAAAAACAGAAGTATGTTCATAATCTTAGGCATTGAAGTTTGATAATAAACAAATTTTACCACAAAGATTAGAGGAATATAGAATATATAATGTTATTAATCCTTAAACTGTTCTGTATTTGCTTTTTTGCCCCCTCAGAATTTTTATCTATGGGCATCATGCTCTTGAATTAAAATCTTAACAGTTACTATTAATATAAGGCACTTTGTGCTGTGCATCAACCAAGCATTAGTGAATTTTCAAGGATCTTCAGTGTTATGTACATTTGGAAAAGGAATTAAATCTTAGCAAACTGAAGGAAATAGTGTTGTATACATTTTTCCTACATTGTAAAGAATGCTTTTTTTTTTTTTTTTCTTTTCATTTTTGACCAGATGCTTGCACATATCACCCAGGTGTTCCAGTCTTTCATGATGCATTAAAGGTAGGAACTATATATTTTTTCAGTTTCTTCCTATTTGTATAATACATTAAGAAATGTAATAGTAAATATTTTCTCATCTTTTTTTACTGGCATGTCTGCTTTTTAAATGACCATTGTGGGGTGCTTTGTGTATTCCACTAAAAGCAAAGAAGACAGTGGATGATGATGTTTACCAGTTATAAAATATTTTATTTACAGTCCAAATCATTTTCCTAATGATTTCTTTACTTTCTAATTTTGAAGGGAAATCGAAGCAGTTATGATGAATCTTGGTCTTTCAGTTTATCACTGTTGGCCAATAAAAACTCTGAACTTTAGGAATGATTGTTACAAACATGCTAAGTTTACAATATGTTTACTGAAGAGAGAGATTACCAGTTTTTCACCTGTATTTCCTTAATGTTCTAGAGAATTACCAGAAATAATAGAGTGTTTTCTGACCATATTTTTTATGATGACTTTAAAAAAAATGAAAAACGGATACATTTGAGGAGTTTCCTTTGTGTATCTAAAAGAAAATGCTTCCTGGTGGCTGTCCTGGTTTTAGGTACTACTGCTTTTATGCTGAGGAACATAAATAGCCTTATATGTTTAAATGTTGTTGATTTCTTTTGAATGTTCTGTTGATCTTCCAGAAAGCAGTTGGACTCTTTTGGCATTTAACTGACGCACAATCAAATTCAAAGTTGTATAGTAAATAACAATTTTATGTTAGCTTAGTTCTGAGTGAGGAGAACAGAACTTCATTAGGGCACTTTGAGATTTAACTCTTTTTACAAAAGTTGATGGGGATGAAAACTATGGGGATATTTTTTGCTGGTGGGGGGAGGAAATGGGGATTTTTCTCTTTTCTGGATTGCCATTTATTGATTATTTTTCTTTTATTTCTTTTCCCCCTATACTATTTCCTCCTCTCTGCTAACAATAGAAATACTTGACTTTGCAATCTTTAGCTTCCTATTTTTTCTCATTCTCTTTATTTGCTCTCCAATGTCACCTCTGGGCTAATGATTTTTGTAGCATTCATGTATCTGTTCAGCAAGTTTCTAAAGCGAAGTAGTTTTTCTTTTTCTCAGTTTTGTGGTTGTACTGTTTGTTATTATCTCTGTGATATTAACACTTTTTGTAGACTTAGACTTTCCAAGATTATTGGATTTCACAACCCAGACTGTTTGGGTGAAATTTGTGCATCAGTATAAAGTCACTAGTTTTCTGTTTAATCAAGTAGGAAATTAAACTTGTATTAGCAAAAGATAGGACATTTTAATGCTAGAAGAATATAATACTCTAGGAAAGTTCTTCTCAAGAAAAGACAGTTAACAACCTTATGCTTTATATTGATCCTTTTCTTATTTTACTGAGGACTAGCAAAAGACCCAGAGTAGAATTTGAAATAGCTATCTTGTGTCATGTGTATCCCAGTATTTGATTTAATTGTGTATATATGGTAAGACAGGGAATCTTTCCAACAGGATAACTGTTTTGAGATAACGCTATCAATGCTATTAAACAGTCTAAGGTGGTGGGAATTGGTTTCCTACATCTCTATTCAGAGAAAATAAAACTTAAAAGGAAAATTGGGTTATAGGTACTTAAAATTTTCTTCAAAAAAAAAAAAAAAAAGAAATCTGAAAGTACATGTTGTGTAAAAACTCAATACCAAATTCTTTATGTAGTTGAGTATATACAAAGTTAGTCCCTAATCCAAATTTGGGGCCTCTCATGTCTTGAGATTTCTGCCTTTCTTTTCCCTACTCTCTGTAATACGTTAGTAGAGATGATAACTTCACAGCCATAAACACTTTAAAGCTGTGAAATATGGAAGTTACTTCAGGATTCAAGGAGATAAGTATAAGAAGAGTGTTTCAGTGGGTTGTGGTTTCCATAGAAATAGTTTTTAAGTTTTTTCTTATGGTTTATAGGGTTGGTCTTGCTGTAAGAGAAGAACTACTGATTTTTCTGATTTCTTAAGCATTGTGGTAAGTACTATTTTTTCCCTAGATTATCTCCCTTAATGTACATTTTATGGAAGCTCCAGATTTGGGTAGTCTGATTTTTGTTTTCTATTGACTCATCCTCATCAACTATCAGATAGCACTTTACTTTTAAAATGGAGTTCACCTTCCTTCCACAGCCTTTATAATAATTTATCTGCTTAAGAGATAAGATTTTAAGATATTAATTATTCATTGGTTATTTTATGTTTTTGACGTTAGCAGTATTAAAAGAACATCAAAGAAGAAAGTGGTGGGCAACCATTTAAAGTATTTTCAGTTAGGAGAAATAAACTGTTATGATATATAAAGATACCATTGAGATATAACATTATTTTATATTCTACTAATAAAAAAAGTTCAGTATTATGGCCTGTATTTTACAGGTAAGGAATGAGATTTTGAAAGATTATCTTGCTTAAGGTCACAGCTTTTAAGTAGAACTGTACACAAATTGAGATCTTGAGTACAAAAACTTTGCATATAAATAATTTGTAAAGTCTTTCTTAAAATATTTTATTTAGAGGTACAAAATCATTTTCAAATTTAGCAAATATAGCACATTTAGTTCATTAAAATAAATCAACATAATAAAAGTGTTTCTATTGTGGCATATGACAAGATAACTCTTAATGAATGCCTTTCACTAACAGGGCTGTACAAAAGGTAGACATAATAGTGAGAAGCCACCTGAGCCGGTCAAGCCTGAAGTCAAGACTACTGAAAAGAAAGAACTATCTGAATTGAAACCCAAATTTCAGGAGCACATAATTCAAGCCCCTAAACCAGTAGAAGCGATAAAAAGGCCAAGGTATACTTTTTACAGTTGCTTATTTTTGTCACACTTGAATAATAGCATTTGTTCATGATATTTCTATTTATCATTTTGCATGATAGCATTTTTCTCTTAAATGAGCCTTTAATTTTATTCCCACTCAACTTGAGGCATGTACACAGTGAAACTTCATTGCAGATTTGTTTGTCATACCATCAAAACTACAGATTTATCTATTACTAGGGTAAGGGATTCACACTTTTTTTTTTTTCACTTGGCATGTGTCTTCATTGTGGCATGGTGAAGTTCTGTGAAGTGGTTGTTCTTGCATGAATTCAGTTTAAATTGAAATATGTATTCATACTGAGAACTGATGGTGTTCCTAACTTTTTCTCTATTGATCTTAATCTTAAACATTAATCCAAACATTAATCTTTACTTTTAGATGCCTAAAAACTGTTGTTACTAATACTGAGGAATTTTTTAATGCATTTGATTCTGAAGGCATATTTCTTTAAAGTGTCTTAATGTAGCTTTTGCTCATTTTTAACTAAAATTCAGTTCTTCATAATCATTTTCTAATCAAACAGACGGCATATTGGGTTTACTTTTGTTAGGCTAGGTCTTCATAATGCACGTTAAGTACTGAATGTTTTAGAACCAAACTACAGAACTCTAAATAGATGGTCAATTTTTTTTTAAACAGCTCTGAGAAATAATTGACAACACCTATTGAAAATGTATTCATACTGAGAACTTACAGTGTTCCCGACTTTTTCTCTGTTGATCTTAATTGAACATATTTATAAAGTATTGAATAATATGGGACCAAGATAAGATCCCCAAGAGACTTTCAGTGTTTGCTCATTAGTATTCTTGAGTACAGACCATTGTTAAACTACTCAGTAAATTATTTTACTCCAACTCCATTTATCCATAATCCTGGGATACTTATCAAATTCCTTGTTAGCCAATTTGAAAAATTACTGGAAAAAGATAAGGAAGCATTTTATCCCAATTAATTTGATGATGCTACAGAAATTATGAGGATAAAGATTTTTATGCACTTGTTAATGTCAGTTTTTTTTCATTGTGGGTACAGCATGAATAGAATTTTTACTTTTATTGCTTTATTTATTAATATTCTTGATATTTTTGAATGGACTTAAAGTGGAAATGTAAAACTTAACCATTATGAAATGTTACGAGGATTTTGTTTTTGACCTCTTCCCATACAATTGTATCTGAATTTATAGTTCCATCTACCAGTATCCATATACAGTAAACCTCCCTATTGGTAGAAATGAGTATGGATTCACTGCCTGTATGTTATGTGCATAGCATTTTACTTGGGCATGAAATGTAGAAGTATTCCACCGCCCCTTCCTCGGAGTTACTCATCTTGTCAAACATAGATTCCTAGTCTTTACTCTCTTTCCACTGGTCCTGATGATTAATAATTGAATGTGCCTACAATAATGTAATTACTTGAGACTTAATGTTTTAACATAAGAAAGACCTTTTCTGCTAAAATGTAGATTGTAAAATATAGCAACTATTTGTAAGATACTTCTTATTAAGAATAACTGGATTCATAAAGCATTTAACATCTCAAAAAGAAGGTTTTAAGGTTTTTTTAGTTTGATTACAAGGACATATTTGGTACATTAATAATAGTAACAGGGTTTCAAAATTCTCCAGCCCAGATGAACCCATGACAAATTTGGAATTAAAAATATCTGCCTCCCTAAAACAAGCACTTGATAAACTTAAACTATCATCTGGGAATGAAGAAGATAAGAAAGGTAAGATTTTGTTTTATTGTATTATAATTTTTTCTAGCCAATAAACTTTCAACCAAAAGTTTACTAAATATGACCAATTAACACATTATAATAAAAATATTTTTCCCAAATGCAAAATAATAGCTCAGAATAAATGTGTAGTTTATTCTATTAAAATTGAGAATCTACTTAAAGTTTTTCCTTCTCTATGGTTTATTATTTTTTAATAGTTTAATTTCTTTGGTAATCAAAAATGTTTCTTTGTGTATGATGTAAAATATATTTAATGTTCTGTGACATATACCTAATACCGTAGAACAAAATTATCCTTTCATAAATTCTCTTTGACGTGGTTATTAGATAAGTAGTATGTTATAGAATTAAAATACAACGTATATCCTTTTGACACTACAGAAGAAAACCTAATTACAGTAGATGAATATTATATGACTTTTTGTAGAAAAGTTGCATCTTAAGAATGGCACTGCAGTGAACTTCTGTTATTTATTTATTTATTAATTTATTTCCATTTTAGAAGATGACAGTGATGAAATTAAGATTGGGACCTCATGTAAAAATGGAGGGTGTTCAAAGGTATGTATTATAAATCTTATTATATTATGAAGTAGAATTTTAATTTTGAAGAAAGAGGGTGCAGTTCATTCTCAATTTAGAAATTAGTTGTGTGCCTGTTATACATTTGGCAGTATGCTGAGGAGTAGGGCTGTAAACATGGAATACAGACTAGAATCATGTGAGTCTGTCTAATCACCATTTATAAGCACTTTCTATGTGCAGTACGTTGTAGGGGTGGGAAATACTGGTTATTACCCCCAAAATCTCTTTTTTATGGAGCTGGTATTCTAGTATGGGCGCAAATACAAAAAAAAAAATGTTAAATATGAATTCAGGTAGATATGAAACAAGTAAAAAGAAGGAACTAGAGTGTTTGGAGTTGGGAGTTATCATTTAATAAAATTGTCAGTTATGTTCTTTTTTACATGGTGACAGAATCAGAATTCTTTATAATATAGTGAATGAGTTGTATACCTGGGGGAAGAGTGCTATAGATAGAGCAAGCAGCATGAGTAGAGGTGTTAGAGCTTGGCTATTCAAGGAATAACAAGTTCAGTCAAGTGAAGTGTGATGGAAAATTACCTATCTTAGGAGTTACAAAAGGATGTCTGTGACTAGTGAGTAGCCAATACATGCTGAAGAACCGCAGTGAATTGGAAGAGAAACCAGCTTGGATGCTATTATGGTTAAAGAGATTAGAGTTTATTGAGAAGTTGTTATGTATGCAATATGATCAAACATCTCAATGAGACCTTATCCTGCGTACTTTGTAAACATTTTCTCCCTCTCTTTTTCTCTCCATGGCCTTTAAAACTTTATGTCATTTCACTACTATCTAACTTGTCCCACCACTCATCTAAGGTTTATAGTGTTTTGGTTTGTTCTTTGTTATCTCTTGATGCTTTGAACAGTGCCTGACATGGCAAATACGTGTAGAATGTATAGTATAATTGGAAATATTGATAGCACTTGCTAATGGATTGCATGTAAAAGGAAGTTGGGACTTGAGCATCTGGGTGATTGCTGTTGCCATTAAATGAAAAACTGAAGATGATGAGAGGCCAGGTCTTTATTTTCCTCTTCTGTTAAGTTCAAAATCAGGTTGCTGATTAAGGTGTGGAAATAAAATTATTCACATGTATATGAGTTAGAAGTAGTAGATAAAAGGAAATGATTAATTCTTGGAGTGAAGGCAGTACAAATAGTAGAGTAATGGAAGAAAGAAGATCAAAGAGAAAGTGTTAGGTGAGTTTTGAAAACAATGAATGAGAGTTATGAAAATATGGGGGCAAAGTGTATTTTAGTAGCCGTGATAGCAATAGTATAAAGAGAACGTTAAGTGATAGGAATGTTATTCAATTTGCTAGTGTGGAATTGAGATTAAAAGAGGTTAGTAATAGTAATGGCCAAATCTTAATAGTGCTGGGAAGTAAGACCTTACTTTAGATTATGGAGGCCATTATAGAAATTTTAAATCTTTTTCATTGAGGTATGTATATAACATAGAAATTTGTTAAATCATGTACAAATACAAGTTTATAGCTAAGGGATTTTCAGAGGAAACACATCATCATGGTAGAGCACTCTTACCATTCATTTTTCCCTTGTGCAAAGGTTACTGCATTTTTCTATCAAAATTAGTTGTGCCAATTTTTAAATTTAATATAAATAGAATCATAGAGCATGTACTTTCTTTTTTGTCGTCTTTTGTTTGTTAGGTTCATGTTTGTTGCATATAGTCATGGCTTTGTTATTTTTTATTTTGTTTCATTTGATTTGTTTTCATTTTGTTCTTTTTTGAGTTGCCATGAATATTTTCTCATACAGGGGCACATTTAAATGTGGAAAGCACCTGGAGCTAATTATTGTATAAGGTGTGAGGTAAATCACTCACACTTTATAAATTAAGAAAGTGATACTAATTAGATATTTTACTGAGATAGCAGAAATCAAAGGGTGAGAAATGAGGTAGTAGAAAACTTCGTATAGTGTAATTACCTAAAATCTGCTAGGTCATGAGTAGGGCTAGGAAATTAAACCAATAGATTTTTTCAGAGTAATAGGATTTCATGATAGACTACATATAGGTGGATGGAGTGGAGAAACTAAAGAGCACTTACAGATATTGATTTTGAGAGACTAGTTATGATGCCATCATATAAGATGGGGAGTTATAGTGATAAGTTTAAAATCTAACATACTGGGATTTATGTGCTCACATGATAACTTAGGAAATAAACACGCTTAATACTTCAGATTTACAAAATGTAAACATCAAATTTTATGTTCTGTTCATGTAGATATTTAATATAAATACAATAGTAGAGAGAAAATAGGCTGCTGGCTGCTTCCATGTTTTATTAACCTAACTTGTGAATTCATCTGTAGAGCTTTCACATATAGCAGCTTATGGGGCCTAGATCATACAAACAAACCATGAAGAGATCTATAGATATAAATATAAGTACATCTGCAGCTCATTTTACCATTTGAGGGAAGAGAAATAACCAGCACTATAGAATTTCCAGAATTATGTATTAGATTTCTGTTAGCAGAACAGAGTTTGTTATATACCTAATCATGCTGTACCTCTTTCTGATGAAGATCCTAATCTGTTTTGAATGTTTCTGTAAATTTAAACACATGAATATGGTTGAATTTCAGGCTATGAAAACATTTAATATGTTATCTATTGCCTACTTTTTTATTTGCCTTTTCACAGGAGCCTAAAATTTAACCATATGTAAAATGGAATAATTTTTTATTCCTTATTGGAATGGCCTGCAATGGAGTACTAACAAATATGTGTAAGATACAACTGAGAGATAAGGCAGCTAAATTTGTTTTTTTCTTTTCTCTTTTAGACATATCAGGGTCTACAGAGTCTAGAAGACGTTTGTGTATATCATTCTGGAGTACCTATTTTCCATGAGGGGTAACTTATGCATGACTAATTAAAATACCTTATGGTAGAGATTAGAAACTTAAACCTTCATATATTTAGGTACTTACCATGCAGTGTTATTAAGTATTCTACTTAAATTGCTGTTTAATTTTTATAGTAACTTAAAAATATGGGATTTGTCTTAACAGAAGAAAAACAAGATTACAGTTATTAAGTGGCCATTGTGATTTAAACACTGTATTTTCCATTTCAATGTGATGCTCTTCCTAGTTGGGCTAAATTCTTTTTTGTTTGAAAGACTGTCTGACATTTGGCAGGACATTTAGAATTTTGGCTCAGGGGCAATTAAGGCATTACTACCCAGGAAAACTCCTATTTTTCCAGTCTTCAATTGAGAGTTTGTCTGTAGTTTAAAGAAATAGGACTGCTTTAAAAATCTTCCTCTGTTTCCTTATGTTTCAAGGCTCAAACCTGAAACTGTGTTGCAATTTTAGCTTCCTGTGTTAGATTTTTCTTAAAGAATGATAATTTTCTTCTACTTTGGGATTGACCATCACAAGTTGTATAAACATTAGTTGTTAATTTCATAGTCTTTACCAGGTTATTGAAATGTAATGATTATAAATCTTGTTGTACATCACTTTTTGTTAGCTTCATGAGGACACTGGAGTGCAGGCTACCAGTGGAAAATTGATTGGAATTTTGTGATAGTTTTTAGTCTATGCTCAGGAGCTTCAAATTTACATAATAAGTGGCATTCTCATTTTTAAATTATTAAGTATTTTCTCATGTGTGTCCATTTTTACTGTTCTGTAACTTAAGCACTGGTAAATACTGAAGTTGCCCTGATTTTTAAATTATACTTGCACTATAATATTTCTGTATTTAATTGATTGTGAGGTTTTACTTCTGAAAATTTTTTATAATTATTTGAAGGATGAAATATTGGAGCTGTTGTAGAAGGAAAACCTCTGACTTTAATACGTTCTTAGCCCAAGAAGGCTGTACAACAGGGAAACACGTGTGGACTAAAAAGGATGCTGTAAGTAACCTTTTCAAAATAATGACACTGAATTGTGTTTGTCTGAGTCATTTTTGAGAGATTTGAAAATCTTTCGTTTTATATTTATAGAGGAATTCTCACCCTCACAAATATTTTATTAATATTTTGTTAATGTATCCTTTGTTGTCGTCATCACCTTCATCGTGCCCATCCCCTACAACACAGAAAAAAATGGTCTGAATCAAACTCTCAGCACTGCCTGTTGAGCAAAATAGCTGTTGCATATGTTGGTGTAGGTATATGGGTTTTTGTGAAATACTAGAGCCTGTTAAAGTGAAGCTTATTATGAAAATTAATTTCAAATCCTGTTCCCACATTATGTTGTTGTTTTTGGCCACTTAAAACTTTAACCATTTACAGATGCACAAATGCCTCATCTAGTGGCCAAGGAGTAAATTGCAGACTTGTTTCGGTAGAATTCTGAATTCCTTTGCTTACTCTGGGGGAAATATTAAGAGAGAAAATAAAGCATAAGTTCCTAATTTCCTGAACAGCATCTTTAGAAAACTTGGGGCCATGCACATAAATCCCTAAAAAACCATAAGATTTTAAGAAGGAAAGCAGTTTATCATGAAATAAGTTAGGTGTTAGCTATTTATTTAATAATGTGCTAAATAAATTAATCTTTTATGCTGTACTGACACTAATAAACTCCAAATAATGACCCTTTTCAGTTCAGATGGACACAATAATATCTTTATTTATTTTATTTATTTTTATGTGGTACTGAGGATTGAACCCATGCGAGGCAAGCGTTCTACCTCTGAGATATAACCCCAGCCCCAAACTTGTACCTTTTTAAAAAATCTTTTTCATACTGGGGATTGAACCCAGGGATGCTTAACCACTGAGTCACATCCCCAAGATAACAACTTCAAATATAGAAACCTTTATTTTTTGTATTGAAACAGGATCTCACTAACTTGCTTAGTGCCTCCCTAAATAGCTGGCTTTGAACTTGGAATCCTTCTGCCTCAGCCTCCCAACGTGCTGGTTTTACAAATGTGTGCCACCATGCTAGCAAAATTTGTGCATTTTAATTTAGAAAGTTATTGTAAATTTTCAAAAGTTAGAAATTTATTCATATTTGAACTGTTGACTTTGTATTAACACATGGTTAACTATTATAAGTGTACCCTCCAAAGTTAAATAATTCATTCACCATGAATCTTCCGTTAGTAGAAAGTTATGTCTGCCTTTGTACTTTTCCCAAAGTTCAATTTAAGTATTAGATATATGAGATAGTAGCTAAAGAAAAGTTATGAGTGATAAATTTATTGTTTAAACTTAGTGCAGTTGTACCAAAATGTAAATGATGCCTTTTATAATGGTAGTGTCATGGAGTTTACTTATGTAATTTGATTTAAGTTGTTCTCATTTATAAGACAAATCACCATTTGCTTCTTTAAGAAAATGAATTGGTATGGCAATAAACCACTAATAATTGAGGGTTACTTGAGAGTAATTGAGTATTACTTCTGCTTTTTTTCCCTTCTTTTCCCCCTGTATGTTAATACATAAGGACAAGAGGATTATGTGCAAATGTCAGGTTTAAGTGGTCATTTTTTCTCCCAAATTATTATTACTTATAGAAAACATATTGAAGGTTTCCATATTTGAAGTTAAGTTGTTGTCTTGTTTATCCCACTGAAGTGAACATCCTTTCTAATTTTCAGTCTTCAAAGAATGTTTTTTTTTTGTTTGTTTTTTTCTGGGTTAGAACACTTTTATTCATATATATGAATACAAATGTGAATATATATATATAAATACACATGAAAATATTTAAATGGATATGGATATTTACACTTTTGGTAAGATATAGGATATGATTATGTAACTGAATATATATGAAAATTTATGGGTAGGATTTGGGTTGCCATTAGGGTGTGTGTGTGTGTGTATATGTATATGAACATATACAGAATATATATGTGAAAATATATATGGATATTCAATAATATAATTTTTGTTTAAAAGGCTCATGATTATTGATAGGGTTAGGTTTAGTTCTGAGTTACAGCTTTGGTTTAGGAGATGGGTTGCCTTTGGAACATATGTATCAATATATATGAATGTAAAGGTAATATCATATACCAAAATTTATATATATACTTTTTTTTTAATTTTTATTGTTGGTTGTTCAAAACATTACATAGTTTTTGATATATCATATTTCACATTTTGATTCAAGTGGGTTATGAACTCCCATTTTTACCCCGTATACAGATTGCAGAATCACATCAGTTACACATCCATTGATTTACATATTGCCATACTAGTATCTGTTGTATTCTGCTGCCTTTCCTATCCTCTACTAACCCCCCTCCCCTCCCCTCCCCTCTTCTCTCTCTACCCCCTCTGCTGTAGACGAATGGATAAAAAAAATGTGGCATTTATACACAATGGAGTATTACTCTGCATTAAAAAATGACAAAATCATGGAATTTGCAGGGAAATGGATGGCATTAGAGCAGATTATGCTAAGTGAAGCTAGCCAATCCCTAAAAAACAAATGCCAAATGTCTTCTTTGATATAAGGAGAATAACTAAGAACAGAGTAGGGAGGAAGAGCATGAGAAGAAGATTAACATTAAACAGGGATGAGAGGTGGGAGGGAAAGGGAGAGAGAAGGGAAATTGCATGGAAATGGAAGGAGACCCTCAGGGTTATACAAAATTACATACAAGAGGAAGTGAGGGGAAACGGAAAAATAATTCAAAAAATGTTTTAAAAGAGGTACTTAGTGGATAATAGGATTTAACTATTAAAATATTCTGTATTGTGTTATTTTGTAGTTTAAACCTCTTGGTGGAAACTTTGGGAGTTGATTGTCCTAAAAACATTATGTTCTTCATTTGCATAGTAGTTTTCCTCTACTTTTCAGGGGTCAAATTCTTCTTTTGAAGAAGTTAATTATACGGTGCTTTTTAAACTTATAAAGGTCTTCTTACATTTCAGGGGAAAAAAGTTGTTCCATGTAGACATGACTGGCATCAGACTGGAGGTGAAGTCACCATTTCAGTATATGCTAAAAATTCACTTCCAGAACTTAGTCGAGTAGAAGCTAATAGTACATTGGTAAGTACACTAAACAGCTGAATCTAACTTGTCTTGCTCACATTGTTTTGACACTACTGCATTATAAAATACTGTTCTTATTTCAATGGATTTTAAAATCTTACCCATATAAGCTGGGCATGATGGCAATGCCTGTAATCCTAGCATCTGAAGAGATGGAGGCAGGAGACTCCCAAGTTCAAGTCCAGACTCAGAAACTTATTGAGATCCTGTCTCAAAATAAAAAATAAAAGCTGGGAATGTAGTTCAGTGCCCAAGAATCCCTGAGGTTTCAATTCCCATTACCAAAAACAAAAAGTCTTTTCCACATCAAAAAATAACTTTAAATTATATTCATGGAAACTTTTATGAATGAAAATCTAAAATTTATTATAGGGTTTTTTCCTAAAGCATATTGGAGATAGAGTAGCTCATAAAACTTGCCTGATAATGTGGTATTTCATCCTCAGTATGAAATTTCAAGTAAATTTTTCTTTTCTTTTTTTTTTTAGTTAAATGTACACATTGTATTTGAAGGAGAGAAGGAATTTCATCAAAATGTCAAATTATGGGGTGTAAGTATTATAAACCCATCAAAATTTCGGGTAATTTAAAGTACCATTTGTAGAATAAAAGGCAAATACTTTAATAAGTGAATTACAGATCTGTAACTTTATTGTCCTACAAAAAAATCTAAATATTGGTATACAAATGGCCTTAGAGGCTTGAGGTTGGGATTTTTAGCGTAAAGAAGACCAATATTTTCCTCTGGACTAAATGAGACCCAAGTTTATTTACTCTTACGCTCCTTGATATGTTACAGGTGATTGATGTAAAACGAAGCTATGTAACTATGACTGCAACAAAGATTGAGATCACCATGAGAAAAGCTGAACCTATGCAGTGGGCAAGCCTTGAACTACCTACAACCAAAAAGCAGGAAAAACAAAAAGAAGATATTACAGATTGAGGTCGGGGGAGGGCTGTTGCCTATTTCAGAATTCTGAATGTGTGGTAAAGTGGTGGCTTGCTGCTGTAACTTTTTGTTGTTGAATCAGGCATTTCAGGGTCATATTAGATATTTGTTTTTAAAAGCCAAAGTCAATTTATCTTTTTGTGTTGCCATATTTTGCGTTCCATAAGATTGATTATTCGTATCTTCTCATTGGTAGAACCATAGTTATGTCCCTTACTTGAAGAAGCTGGAAAATAGCTCGAGTGTAATTGCAGTATTTCTTAGTGTATTATTATTTTGTTAAACAAATAAATAATAAGGGACATTTGTTTTTTATACTTCTGTTATCCCATAATTATTAAAGCAAGATGAAAATGTCAATTTTTTAATCAGTTTTGTTTTGTTTGTTTTTTTCCCCTCTTTGTGGACCTTTTGTTCCTATAATACTTGAAAATCTTCAAGGAAGAAATGAAGTTCTGCATTGTTTTTGTTTGTTTTTATTTTCCATGTGGGACAGTCACTTTTTCCAAGAGGACTATCCTAGGTAAAGTGGGGGCAAAATATATGCACTGACCAACAAATTACAATTTATTCACGGTTAATTTAATTTTAAAATTACATCATTATCTATATTACTTGCCAAACAAGTATGACTTAAGAGTAAAGGAAACAAGACTGGAGAGAGATCAATTTGGTTAAAATTCACTATTTTTATAAGACTTAAGCAATAATGTTAAAAATCTTTCTCCTGATTAAGGGTCTTTATATGATGTTATGACTAAATGGTACCTGATTTTCAGTCTAAACCCTCTTAAAACCTTCAGTTACCTATAAAAAAAAAAAAAATCTATATCTGGCCTTATTGATAGAAAAATACCTAAAATTGTATCTTAAAAGTTTGTGGAAATACAATAGAAAATGAGAAAACTAAATACATAAACTTTGCTTTATGCCTACTATTACATGTTAAATAAAATAGCTTAATTCTACCAGAGTCATTTTTTTTCAAGGCTTTCAAGTAGAGCTTGACAATTATAGTAATACAATGTTGATCATATATTGTATTTTATTGGTATTAAATATATGTAATACATGCTTTGATTTATTTATGCTTCTCAGCCCATTAGTGAATAGATCGCTTTTTGAGGTAATACAGAGTTCAAGAAGGAAATTTTAAGAAATGTTATGCCATTCAAACTGGCATAACTTAATAAATTTGGTTATTATTAGGTTTATACAGATAAATGAAAGTCAAAAAGTTTTCCAAACCCCTTGAGTATATTCTAGGTTAATAGAACTCTTGCAAAGAAAAGTGTGCAGAAGTACTATTTTAGTTCTTAAGAGGTTTGTATATATCATTCTGTTACTCTTAGCAAATAACTAGTAGATATATTAGTTATAATAATTATTTAAAGATCTATATCTGTCACAGTTTTACAAAGTTTGGCACCCAGGCTTTGTTGACATTAAAACAAATGGCAAGAAATTTGGGGCAATAAAAGTGTGATCCAGATAGAGAATGTAACTATTAGTTTTGAGAGAAGTATTTAAAGTTTTGACAACTTGTCTTTTTGGAATTAGTAACCTGTGTTCTTTGTAAACATGGAACCTTGTTTGGAGAAAGAAATTGATTCATAAATTTGATTTAAAGTAATTATCATTATACCTTTTGTAATGTTTTCTTCTTGAGGCTGTTTTCTCCTGCAAAATGTCTTCATTTTTTTAGGATTTAAATATTATTTAAAGCAGGTGAGATATTCAAACCTCAGACTTAGTTACAAAGCACTGATTTTTTTTTTTCTTTTTTGATACAACTATGTAGTCTAGTTACATTAGTGAAACTCATAAAAGGACACAGTTATAGATAGGTAGAGTATGTTTTACACTATCAATTTTTCAAAAAAGTTAATAAAACTTGTTAATTTACTGAGTCATTTGTCTAGAATTATGCTGTCTTTCTTTGCATTCAAAGTAATTAATATAACAAAGCAGTCGAAAGCTGGGTATGTGAAACATTTGGTAACTGACTTCAACACAGGAAACTTGAAATGCCATTTTTATTGCCTAGCTAGCACATTTGCTAATATAAAGAAAGTAATATTGAGCTTACTTTTTTAACCTCTTATTTTGAGATAATTTTAGATTGAGTTGCAAAAATAGTAGAAGTTCTTTAAATATCTTTCTCTTATGTTAAAATCTTACATAATCACAGGACTTTTATACAGCTAAGAAGTTAACCTTGGTACAGTAATGTTAACTAAAATAGAACATTTAATTTTAACCAGCTATTTTTAGTAAAACTCTTGAAGATCTATCCTATTCTTGAGTCCTATTCTAGTTGTAATAATTTTAGTTAATATAAATGATTAAAAATATTAACAAACGTTTACAGACTGATGGTGTAACTTCTTGGTGTACCTGTACATGGCAAAGGGCTGATTTTACTTTATAATTTCATTTTCTGCCAGAAATTTTAATTCTTATTAAGGATAAATTGTTCAGTTTTCTTTAGACAGTTCTTCAAGCTCCAAGAATGAAGAGAACCTTAAAGCATTCTTGCACATATTTTAAGGGGCCTTAAAGCTATTGTTAACCCATCCCCCACATTTAAAAAAACAACATTCATTTCTAAGCCTGTAAATGGATGTCTTGAATACACAAACAACATGTAAACTTTGAAAAATCCATTTATGAGATCTGGTATCCATTTTAGGGCTATTTGAATGTTAAAAGATTATTTTTTTGTTGTTGTTTTATTGCAAATTAAAGTCCAGCTTGTTTTAGTGTTGTTTTGATAGATTTTTGTTTTTCCTTTTTTTGTTTGTTTGATAGGTGAGAAGTTGTTTCTCTTCCAGCTCCTTCCCTACGTTCTTAAAATTTAAATTCATCCGGTGTTGCCTGGCTTGCCTTTTCTAAATTGATTATAGATGCCTATGGCTTTGTGCATGTGGCATTGTCCCTAAAATATAAGGCTTGAAAAGTTTTTTTTTTTTTCTGCAGAGCATTGCTTAATTTTAAGTTTTCATGGTGTTTGTTGATGTAGTTTCTCTAAGAAAGTTTTCTAAAGATCGTGTTTTCACTAAATGCTTAATTAATGACTTTTTTTAATTCTCCAGTTTAGTAGGACCCCTTTAATGTACAATAAAATGAAATAAAACAACAGTTAAACGTTTTTATGTTGCTTAAAGCTGCATGTCAAAATAGTTTGTTATTCCTTTTCCACTAAGCAGATATCCTGTTTAGATGAATAGATTGTTAAATTATTTTTTTAAAGAGATTTTGCTAATTAAAGTAATATTAGTGATTCAGCTTAGAAAAGACAAACCTCCCTAAATGTACTTCACTTCTCCAACAGAGACATTAAGTGAATGTAGTAGTTTTATTTATTTATATTAATTTGTTATTATCTGTGTCCTTTTCAGACTGCATGTAATCTTAACTGTGGGTGTTTTGACCATCGGTATTTCTGTTTTTTAGTAAAGTACTTAGCATATTAGTTGGTTCTTTAAAATATCTTACATGCAGCAATAGTGGGCTACTCACTATTCAAAGAATTTAAATGAGTATGAACATAGTCATAATGAGGTAGTTTCTATTGATATATTTCAATTGGGGAATATAACAATTATGAGGTGGTTTCTATTGTTATATTACAATTGGGGAAACTGATTTATTGCTCTGGTTAAGCAACTTAGAGTTTAAACTAGTGAGTTGGGGAGTAAAGATTTCAGACTTAGGCAGCCTGACTGTATTCTGTGCTCTTAACCACTATTGTGTGCTGCTTTTATTTACCCATTGAATGCATAAGCTTTGCAAAACATTGACATATAGCATGGAAAATTATTAACAGTATGTTGATAACTAGGAACAAATTTTTTGTTAGATGTGTTTGGTTAGAAAATAAATTTATAAAATAAATTACACAGTCCTTTTGCCTGGATGGTTTGGTTTTAATAGCCTATTAAAAACTTATCACTTGTTATTTGACAACTTTTAGAATAGTCTCAGAATCCTCAATGCAAAATACCATAAAAGTTTCCATTGCCATTTTGTTAATGACAATACATCTTTTAAATGAGAATTCATATTTCTGCATTAATGAAATGGCATAACTACTGAAGTATAATCAGGTTCTTTGTTTAATTTGGAATGTCTGGAACATCTAACTAAGAATGTCGGAAGATAGGATTGTAAACATGGGGACTAAATAGTAAAGGATCATTTGAATTTTGACTTCATCGTCAGGCCAAGATTATCAGAATACCATTTCTAGACAAACTCTGTCACTATCAGTAGAAACTTATTGGAAATGCAGATTATCAGGTCCAAACCTAGACCTACTACATCAGAAACTGGAAATAGGGTCCAGGATGTGCAGAATAATTTCTGGATTCTGATAAACAGTAAAATTTTCAAAATTTTAAAGCCACTAAGAACATGGTTATCTCAGTAGGCTCATATTTTTTTTTAATGAACTTTTTGTTTTAAGAAAATTTGGGATTTGTAGAACAAAGGTGACGATATTACAGAGTTTCTATGTACACAACCAATTTCACCCTTCATTGACATATTAGTGTAATATAACCCATTACAATTAATTGAATCAGTATTGATTCATTATAAACTCTAGTCCATGTTTTATTCAGATTTTCATAGTTTTTGCCCATTGTCTTTTTTCTTCAACTATTTTGTCTAGAAGACCACATTATATTTAGTCATTATTCCTCCTGTGTTTCCTCTTGTTTTTTAGTTTCTTAAACTCAAAACACTGACAGTTGGTGTGGAGTATGCTATAGAATGTCCCTCAATTGGGATTTGTGTAGCTGCTTTTTTAAAGATTGCACTTATTTATGTGTTTTGGAAAGAAAAAACACAAAATTAAAATGCCATTCTCATCTTGTGATATCAAGGGTATACATACTGTCAAAGTCATTTGAGCAACTGACTTGCTCTATGAAGATCTCTTTTATTCACCCTGTTGATCTTCTACTGTATAGTTCATAATCATGAGGGCGTAGGGAGTTATTTTCTTCCATTTCCTTTAGGACAGAATATAGAAGCCACTTTGCACAGATCTTTCTCTTTCCATTAGTCATTCATTTGTATTAGTATAGACTCATAGATATTTTATATTTGGGGTTAAAATTTAATGCTACTTTATTTTGCTTAATTTATTCCAAGTTATTAACAGTTTTTTCAGTTGGCTCCTATTTTAAATTTTTGGCATAGTTGTTTCACTGTTGGGTTTTATGTGTGTTTATGATTTTTCTTTTAGTGTTTGTGTGTGTTTGAGCACTTATTTTGTGGCATTTCAAGATGTTCTGAGCTCATTTTGTGTATTTACTATCCAAATTGAAGAGTCAGCCATTTCTTTATTGGAGAATAGTTTAAAAACCAGCATCTAAGTACTAGGCATGTTTATTGCAATTGGAATATTTTTGCCCTTAGGCAAGGAAACATGTTTTTACTAACTTGTGTGTTTCTAATCATCTGTATCTTTGTTAAGCTAACCATGAAATCATGTCTCTTAATTCATTACTACATATCATTCCAACCTTCTTCCCTTGCTTATCTGTAACTTCCCATGGGTTCCAAATATACTATATCCCTTTGCTTAATTCTAACATAACCATAACGTATTGCAGTGTCAGTATTGTTAACCCAATTGCCCATGGGAAACAACTTATCAACTACAGTGTGTGCATGTAATCTTTAGTTTTAAAACATTTCTAGATACCTGCATATTCAAAAAGTTGAGCACTTCTTCCTTTTATCTCTTTGTTATATTTGTAATGCAGTGTATATTTTATAGAAAGATCATTTTGATAAAAAGGAGCATTTAGAAATGGTATAAAGATCAGTTAGGATCAGGGCATGAAATACAGCAGGAACAGCAGTAAGAGGAGATATATAAGAGACTCGGTGTCTTGAAATGAAAGGAATTTGGTACTAGAGAGAAACTTGAAGATAACTCCTAGGTATGAGAATA